GGGCAGTGCTCACCTTCGATGCTCCAGGGCAGGTCCAGATAGATCCCGGCAAAGACTGCCTCTCCTTTCAGGGAGATTTCTGCAGGTTTCAGGTGACCCACTTTAATCTGGAAAGTCCTGCAGAAGACTCCTGGCATTCCTGGCAGGTAATAGAGCTTCAGTACTTGCTCCTTGCCAGGTTCAATGGAAGCCTGCAAGGGACAGGAGAAGAGAGAGGCAATGCATCAAAGAGGGTGTGATGGAGGAAGGCTCAGGCCACAGACAGGCTGAGAAGAGAAGACAGGTTCTCATCTGGAAGAAAACGTCAGACCACATCACCTTCCACCTTCCTCGTACCCAAAAGCTCGAGCCTCCAAGGTGAGGGTGCAGAGGGTGCAGTGTGTCCTTCCGAGGGCTCCTAAGGCTGCACCCCCAGCAGAGCCTGCCCTGTGCTCAGCGTGAGCACGGCTCTGCTGCTAACGGGGTTTGCCCTCTGCTGGCGAGAGCCAGGCTGAACAGGTGAGAGCTCTTTTGCCACCACTGGGGAAGAGGAGCGAAGCGCCCACACTCTCAGCCCGGCCAGCAGCTCCTGTCACCCCTTGTAGGAGACAGGCAGGAAGAAATGGGAAAGCCAACTGGCTTCCTCTTCCCATTGCAAAGAGGGACAAAGGAACACTGCTTCACCTCAAAGACATCCAGGCAGCACTGAGAAGCTGGGACAGTGGTGGGATGCTCCAAATTCCTCTCTTTGCTCTTCCAGCCCCGCTCCTCCCTGGCCCCCTCACTGCCCCACAAAGCTGCTCCAGAGCAGCACAGCTGGGGGGAGGGAAGAACCAGCACAGGGGCTGTGACAATTTCTGGCAGAGGAGCTTCAAGCCCAAGCAAGGAATATGTAAGTGCTGCTTAGTCCTGTCTGATCCCACAGTTGAGGTAAGGTGACCCTCAGAAGAGCCTCAGTGCCAGCACAGCCACAGAGCTCAGCAGTCAGGGGCCGAGGAGTGACCAACATGCTTGTGCCTCCTGCCAGTGGCTGCCCTGTGATGGCAGAGCCACTCGGCAGCCAAGGCCACAGGGAGTCTGTCAGGATGGCACTTGCTTGACCTTCTCTGCCCCCAGCAGCAATTGCTTACAGCCCTGTCTCTAAAGGCTGGGTTTGGTTTTGTTTTCCCCCCTTTTTTCTCTTTAACCCTCTCCTTGGCCACCTGATACAGGGCTGGCATCAGTCAATTGTGCCACTCACTGTGTTGGGCAGGACTGCAAGCACACCAGGCAGAGGCTTGTCTGCAGTGCCAGTGCTGGGGCTCTGTACCACGTAGGTGAATTCGATCTTCCCGTCGTTCTGCAGGGTGACCTCTGCTTTAATGACTTCATTAAAGAGCTGAAGAGAGGACAGAGGAGTGGGAAGTTACAGACACAGGCCTGCTGCTGGGAATCTCCTTCCTCTTTCATGGGGTTGAAAGCAGACACACCGCAGGAGCAGGGACTGGGAACGAGCTACGGGCACTTGGGAAAGTGGGGAACCCCCAGGCACAGGGACCTGTACAGGAACAGAGAGTTCTGGCAGCACGCAGAGGGGCAGGAACAACCATGGGAGGGTCAGTAGTTAATGAACCAGGGGACATGGGCCCTCTGCACTCTGAGGGGTCACCAACAGCCAGGAGAAACAAAGAAGGCGACATCAAGGCATTCCAGAAGAAAAGGCACCTGCATGCAAGTATTGGCAAGCAACATACCAGCAAAAAGGGAGACAGATGGAGCACCAGGACAGGGACAGCAGCTGGAAAGATCTGTGGACTTTAAACTGAGAAGTAGCAAAGTGGGGATTATTCTGGGACATTCTCTCCAACTGCAGTGACGGGAAGCCCAACCGGGTTATTTTGTGGATTAAGCAACAGCATTAAACAGGAGCATCTCGTTGGAGCTCAGGCTTTAGGAGTGGGTCAGCAGAGGGATGTCTCAGGGACATGTCCCTCTGGACATCCCCACTGGGATCCTGCTTGCTCCAGGAGGCAGCATTAGGTACCCTGAAGAGAAGGAATTCCCAAGATTTTGGAGGGGAGGGGAGATGGCCATTACAAAGCAGTCTGGAGGCCAGACATATCCCTCCAAGGTTGTACTTCCAAGCCCCAGAGCCAACAAAGGAGCTGGGAAGGGGAGAGAGCCCTGGGCTGGGCTGGGCAGCAACCTGCTGGTGATGGTCCCAAGGCAGCAGCTCTGCCAGGAGAA